AGAGCTTTACACTCTGGGGAAGCTCCTTGTAGGATTTGGGCATCTGCTTATTAGCTGGTAGAGGGAAACAATGGCTTCTCCCTTGGTGTCCAACTCTTCCCTCTGTCTACATTTAGGGATTACTGCTTTGAATCAGGTCTACTTACATCTTTTTAATTGGTTATTGTTTTTCAATTCTCATTTAAGACAAAGGGTTTTGTTGTCTGTTTTGCCTTTTGGAAAACTGGTGTAAAATACAGATGAAATTAGGAACAGAGTTTCTTGCTTTCCTCATCTAGACTGCTTCGGAAATTTGAGAGAAGTTTTTAAGGGAAGAAGATGCTGAGAGAGACAAGTTAAGTGTTGAAAGCCATGGCAAGAAGACTGCCGAAGTTTGAAAGCCTGTATCTCCCATGTCCAGGGAGCCCAGATCAATTTCTCTTAGCATGATCAGATTCTAAGAGATACCAACAAGGAAAAAGAGGGTAGATGAGAAACAGACAGCCCCTAACCTGTGGTTTGCTTAAGATTTCAAACTAAGTTTCAGAATGAGCAAGGACCCTATTCATTCTTTGATGCTTCTACTTCTTAATAAACTTCCCAAAAAGTCAGCTTATCTCTATCTCTACCATTTTCTATTGATTTCCCAGAAAAGGCCAAATTGATGAACAGATGTCTGGAGTGTTATAAAAACTTATAAATCTTTCTAAGATGCTAAAAAGGTTTTCAGAGGCTATATTCTTTCTTTAAACAATTGGACTACTGTATTCTGAGTGAACCTTTTCTGTCTATTTGCAAAAAAAAAAATCAATTTAAACAATTATGTTGTTTGCCTTCTTAGACAATGGACAAGCTGGTGGAGGTAGGAGTATGGGCTGGTAATTTGGCCAGAAGCTCTTGAAACTGACTAAGAAAGTTTCAGTTGATGCCCATTTTTTTCCAATAAATTTCCTGTAGCAAGCAGAGGTATTCACAATCATGTCATTGATGTTTAATGCTGCTCCTACGCTACTGTAATAGGTGTTCAGTACCGATCAGTTATTTTTGCAGATGGTGCTTCTCCTCTGAATGCATTTTAAATTATAAACCTGATTTAATAATTCTTTCTTCACTTTTTCATCTCCTAAATTTATTCAAAAGACCCAAGCAAGTATCTGTTAGTATCTGACTAAAAACTACTAGAAAGCCAGCAAGTGCTGTTAATTGTTCTTTTTCTTTACTCTCAAGGGGCCAACTTGTCACTTTGTTGACAGCTATCAGAGCATTTCATGCTTCATTGAAGACCCATCAAAAATTTCCAAATCACTAGCTCATTAGCACAAAATAGGGCTTCAGGAATCTCTTTCTCTCAAGTGTCCTGACTGGGCCTTATTAAGTGTTCCAACCTTGGTGGACCACTCTAAACAATGGATAAAGACCAGGGGAATTGAAAGATGGATGTTAATTAGTCAATTTTGAAGGAGTGAAACATGGGTGAAGGCAGAGTACAATGGGACAAAAAGCTGAGATTATCTGTGTCAGCAAAAGGATAATGCATGACTTTGCTAACTGTTCACAGGTCACTGAATGTCAGAGCTGAAAAGGCCCAGAGCTGTAAGAGCCCCAAGAGATCATCTAGTCAGGCCCTCTTACACATTTTATCAGTAAGAGAAGAGAGGCAGCAAGAAGGGAAAGGGACTTGTCCAAAGTCAATCAGCTCTTTCTAGCTTTCCAGGTACCACCTGGCTTTTGGTTATATGACCTCTGTGTAATCAATTTTCAATTACTTGGGCCGCTCACTGCTAGCCCAGCGATCACTGGGATAATCCAAAATGACACATAAGTTAACCATCGTTTACATTGAGCTTTGTGATGTGTGTTTATACTGACATTCCAATGCATCTGGGTCTAATCTGAGAATTCACAACACTTCAACTGAAACAAGAAAGCCACCCTGAAGGTCTGATGCAGGAAGAGCTGGAAAGCTGACCAGCCTTACGGAATGGATAGCATCATGTATTGTTATTCAACCCCTCAAACAGGATATGTTAATTTCAATAACTTTGTTTATTCACACATTTCTGGGTCCCCAGCCTCAGTTAGGAGGAGGATGAGGGGAAGGGGAAACAAAACCTTTTATAGAATATACATATCTTCTTTCCCCCCTCCCTCCTCCTTCTCCCTTCCTCTCATATGTTTTTCCTTCCTTTCTTTTCTTTTTTTTATTGATAGAAACATGAACATCTGCTTTATCTTTCATATAAATAAATATGTAGCTGAGACGTTGACCTGTAGAACTGACTGTCAGGAGGACAAACAATAAATAGAAGACGTGCTAGATCTCAGAAATCTAGAAGTAGACTGTGGAGGAGAAAGACCAGTGAGCAGTAATTTAAAGGGCCAAAAAGTCTGGAAGAGTATATGGAGTCCATTGCACAGCTCAGTAAATACCCTGGGTCTGGAAAAGGGCTAGTCTGGGGTATAGTTGAAGGGATCTTCAACCAAATGGAGTCTTACTTCCTGATCTGGATCCATCCGAACTCTTGGATTATGCTGGGGACCCAAAAATTGCTGGGTTTTTGTCTGAGCATCTTCAGACTTGTACTAAAGTGGCGTTATTTCACTTAACGTATCTCCTGAGGAGGATGCTGATGACTGAGAAAGGGCAAGGAACAGAAAATAGGGGCATGAGCAGTTGGCCTGCTGCTGTAGTCCAAGAAAGAGTCTGTGCAAGGACTCAGTGGCAGCTTTAGTAGCAGTAAAGAATGCCAAGTGCCTTAGTTTCTGCTACAGCAATAATCAAGCATTTTAGTTTAAAAGGTTTCCCCCTTTCATCTTCTTGCCTAGTATAAACAGAGATCTTACTGATGTAACAGAGTGTTTAATCAACCAAAGATGGTACTTAATACATGTTGAGGGGAAGACTTGCTTTTGGTAACAGTAATATGGATAATTAAGTTGTATGAATTAAAAACAATGGGTAGAGGGCATTAAGACTATGTAGAGGGAATTAAGACTAATCAACAGGGAAAATCTATTAGCATTCATTAATTAGACTTCTGTTTGTGATTCTTTGTTAGCCTCAGGAAACCCTTTTCAATGGCTGATCCCTGTTGAAAGTTCTGCCTGGTGCTAAGGGCCTTCTATGGATGCCAAAGGAATGAGTCATTCCAATAGAACTTCTGAAATTCAAGTACAGCACTTTCCTTTTCTCTCTCTCTCTTTTTTTTCTTCTTGGCGGCAGGCAGCAGTGACTGTGAAGTAATAATGATAATGACAACGGAAATAAGAGTGTAATCCTGATTAATTTGCTAAGAGTTGTTCCCCATTTACCAATATTGGCTTGTTTGGTCTGGAGTGTGGCCTGGGTACTGGAACAAAAGTATATATATTCAATGTCACTTGGCTAACCTATGATTTGTCAGACAAAGGTTAATTAAAAAAAACTGTTGGGTTAGTGGCAATAAATATAACATTCTGTGATTTAACTCAGAAGTTCAATTTATTGGATGGAGTTTTAAAAATTCTGAATTTACATTTTTCTCTGCACTCAGGAGGTCTCATCTGCCAAATTGCACATGAGCTGGCCAACCTAAAGCTCAAGAATATTCTAACTGCCCTAGTGTGGGGATAGATTATAAAAGACTGAGAGAAAGATTGGAACAAGAGTAGAAGTGTAAAAATACTTCCAGTGAATACCAGCACTTAGTTGCCCCATTTAGAATCTTCGATCCCCTAAGGCCTATACGATTTAATTATTCTTACATCCCCTTTCCCTGGAAACAAACAAAAACAACTCCTGATGACACCAGTGAGTTGGACCCTTTTTCACCTGACCATCTCAGTTGATAAATAAGCTGTAGGCAGTAACCTGCCCCTGAGGCTAGAAGTTAGGAGCCTTGTTCATTTTTGTATCTCTAGCATGTAGCATGTTGTCCTGTACATAAGAGAAATTTACTTAAATACTTAATGAATGGATGAGATGACTCCTACTATAAAGGATGGAATTGATGTTCCAAAAGGGATAATGCACCTTCATGGTAAAATGAATATAATAAAAATGAATGTATAAAATTAGCCAGAAGCAAGGACCCCAAGGGACATTCTGCTTTGCTTTGCTTTTGCCTGCCCCAGTGGCTATTATTTCTGCCTTTGCTTTTGATACCCTCAGTCTGACAATCTTCTTTTCCAGATTACCCTGGTTAATGGAAATTCTATAGGTTGTATTGGAACAGTAAATACCCACATTTCCAGCTTTCTCTGAATGCTCAGTCTATGTCAACACTAGAAGCCCTGTGCTGGGCATGTGTTGAAGAGACATAGATAAAGAAGCAGCTACATTGAGCCTACTTGTATCTTTTGAATTAGCCATTTCATTCACAGAATGTTGAGCTGGAAGCCACTTTCCAGGTCTTTAGAGTCAACCCCATTGTTATAATAATCAGAGCTCATATTAATTGAGGACTTACTGCTGCCGGATATTTAGTATACTAACGACTCTGTGAGGTAGCTAGTCTTTTTATCTACATGTTACATAGGAGGGAATTGAGACACAGATGTGAAGTAACTTCCTCAGGGTCACACAGCTAGGAAGTAGCAGAGCCAGGATTCAAACGTATGTTCAGACTTCAAAGCCTTCCCTCAGATAGGAAAGAGCTTGCCAAAGGTCATTTTGTTAGAGTCTAGTTCTTCTGGCTCTAATTTGTCTGCACTTTGGTAGGCCATGCTGCTGCTTTAGCCACACAGTAGGGTTCCTTCTAAGCATCAGTTTCTTATTTAGAAGTGCTAGTCTTCTCGGATGGAGTGCTCATTCCTCCAGTCAGGGATTGCATTATTCCTGTGTTGCCTCCTTCCTCAAAGGTTTGTTCCAGCTTTGCCTTCAGTAAATAATGACTTATCATCAGCTCCTGAGCTACCTCCAGGAGCTGCTTGGAACCATTCCTCAGTACTACTCGTGGCTCCAGGGTTGGGAGAAACAAGTAGAATTTTTGAGGAGAAAGTTGCCTCACTGCCTGCTTTCTGTTTTGTTCTCTGCAACACAGATTGAAGATGGAGGCAAGGCAGCTTTGTCCCAGAAGATGAGGACTGGTGATGAGCTGGTGAATATCAATGGCACTCCATTATATGGATCCCGCCAAGAGGCCCTCATTCTCATAAAAGGCTCCTTCCGGATTCTCAAGCTGATTGTCAGGAGGTAAGGTACAGAGAAATTCTCCCTAAGGCACAGAGGCCACTGAAACTTGGTTGGTAATAAAGCTCAATAGAGTCATATCTTTATCAGTATTATAAAGGAAAGAGGTGTTTAACTTGAATAGAATTTTGCAGACAACTGAAGCAGAATAGCACAAGAGAAAGAGCCTTTGGTTCAAATCCTGGCACTGCCACATAGACATATAATCTTGGATAAATTTATTTGAACTCTGCTGGAGTGTTTCCTTATTTGCTATAATGAGGAGTAAATTACTCATCATATACCAAAGGGCTACCTAATCCAGTGTTTTTCATTCTCCTTCTTTATAATACCCTATCATTCTTGAACCACATATCAATGGAGACTTAAAGAGCCCCTACAATCAGCCATGGTAGGCACTCTGGAGGCTGTAGCAAACTCTTAGAAGCCCTGTCCTTGAGGAGTGCACAGTTTAGCAGGAGAGAAAACATACACATGTGACTAAGTAACCGTATATTTTTAAAGGAGGCAATAAAGGCTTGTGTTTGATTGTCAAATGGATTGTTCAGACAGAAATTGCTATTAGAGAAAGATCACTGTAGAGGGGATAGATGGGGTAAGACTTCATAAAGGAAGTGAAATTGAAGCTAAACGGAGAGTATCATTTGAAAAATAAACTATCAGAAAAGGAAGGTATTGCAGGTAAGTGGAGTGGCATAAGCAGAAGGAAGGGAAGGACATATTTGGGCACAGTCATTCTGCTACCACCAAAAGAATCTGCCTATTGGTGAGCTTTCCACATGGCTTTCTTTCATTCTGCTGCTGCATCTTTGCTTTGCATTACTGGAGCTCAGTCTTCTCCCTTTCTATTTTTTTTCCTTTATCCTATATACACACCTAAGTTTTTCCATGTTGCATCTTCCCACAATCTCACTTCTCCCGCTGGTTACTGCTCCATCTTTCTCCTTTTGTTCATACTCAGTCTCAAAGGGAGAGTCTGTTATGTTCACTGTCCCCGCTTCCCCACCTGCCATTTGGCTTTCCACCCTCTGCAACCAGAATTTGACCCTCAGTACTCCACTGAAACTACTTTGTCAAAAACTACAAATTATCTCCTAATTGTCAAAGTCAGTTGGTTATTTTTAATATTTATCTATATGGCATTTAACATTATAGCTCTAGATTGTGCCCTCTACCTTCCTTTATGAAACTCAATACCAAAAATCTCACACAGCAACTCAATAGCAAAAAACCACAAATAATCCAACTTAAAAATGGGCAAAAACCTGAATAGACGTTTCTTAAAAGAAGACACACAAATGGCCAACAGGCATATGAAAAAATGTTCGACATCACTAATCTTCAGGGAAATAAAGTAAAAATCACAATGACATATTATCTCATCCCAATTAAAATAGTTTTTATAAAAACAAACAAACAAATAACAGATGCTGGTAAGGATGTGGGAAAATGGGGAACCCTGGTACACTGTTGGTAGGAATGTGAAATAGTCCAGTTGCCATAAAAAACAGTATGGAGATTTTGCTAAAAACTGAAAATTGAACTATCATATGACGTAGCAGTCCCCCTGCTGGGTACATATTCAAAAGAAAGGAAATCAGCATATAAAAGAGATATCTGCAGCACTATTCACAATAAACAAGATACTGAATCAACCTAATTATCTATCAGTAGATAAATGGGTAAGGAAGATGGGGAATATATATATAAAATGGAATACTATTCAGCCATAAAAACGAATGAAATCCTGTCATTTCCAGCAGCACAGATGGAACTGGAGGTCATTAAGTAGAATAAGCTTAGACAGAAAGACAAATATTACATGTTCTCACTCATATGTAAGGGCTGAAAAGAGGGATCTCATGGAGATAGTAGACTGGTGGTTACTAGAAGCTGGAAAATGGGGAGGTTGTAGAAAGGTTGATTGATATAAAAATTGGTATAAAAATACAGTTAGAAGGAATTAGATCTAGTGTTCAATAGTTTGGTAGGGTAACTATAATTGACAATCTATTGTATATTTCAAAATACCTATTAGAAAAGAATTAATATGTTCTCAGCATAAAGGAAACTATTTCAAGTGATGGATATTCCAATTTTCCTAATTTCATTATTACACATTATATGTATGTATCAGAATGACACATGTACCCCCAAAATATGTATAACTATTACATGTCAATTAAAAAGAAAAAACCTCTTATTTTTCTTTTCTTTATTTTTTTTGAGAATTTTTTTTTTTCTGTTGCCCAGGCTGGAGTGCAATGGCGCGATCTCAGCTCACTGCAACCTCCGCCTCCTGTGTTCAAGCAATTCCCCTGCCTCAGCCTTCTGAGTAACTGGGATTACAGGCATGTGCCACCATGCCTGGCTAATTTTTGTATTTTTAGTAGAGATGGAGTTTCACCATGTTGGCCAGACTGGTTGTGAACTTCTGACCTCAGGTGATCCGCCCGCTTCGGCCTCCCAAAGTGCTGAGATTACAGGCATAAGGCATCACGCCTAGCCAAATCTCTTACTTTCAAGATAATCAGTTTTCTTGTTCTTTTCCTACATATCTGTCCATTTTTTAAAAACCGGGCTTCTTACTACCTGCTCTTCCTCTGGCCATTCCTTGTATGTTGGTATTTCCTGTAGTTCCACCATTTTAAACTTAATATGTCCTGGAAAATCTCACCCAGCCCTATAGCTTCAATTCTTATATATATCTCCTATGCTCCACACCATATAACCGTCTTCCTACTAGACATGTATACTTATATGTGTCAGAAGTATTGGAAACACAACATGCCCAAAACCTATTACATCATCATCTTCTCCCAAGATCACTATCTGTGACCAAGACCACTATGTATGTACTCAGCCAACCAAGCCAGAAACACAGAAGCCATCTTTAATTCTTCCATTGTCCTCATGTTCTATATCCAAATGATTTATCCGTATCTTAAAGAGACAATATTTAAGGGAAAGGCTTCGAACCTAGGAAGAATGAAGTTATATAGGATCTCATTGACTTCTCTTACCTACTGGTGTCTAAGATTAATCCATACCTGCCCATGTACATGGATAGGAAGTGACATGTTAAGTAATGCCTTATATAATAGATACATTATAACTGATTATATCTTGGATTGGTCAAGATTTAGATCTTAAATAAGGCTTCTTGGAGGGGTAATTTGGTGAATTTGGAAGCATTTTTGTTTTGGAGTTAGATAGTCCCATGTATGCAACTTCCTAGGTTTCTTACCTGACAAATAATAATTCCTCCATAGTGGCATTATCACAATGATTACATAAGATAACTTATATAAAAGAACTTTCACATAATGGGTTGTCAGTGAATTTCATTCCCATTTCTTTCCTTAGGGTCTAAAAGAAGCATAATTGGAATAACCAAACATTGTTAAATTGGGAGAGCATCAGAATGGTGGTGTGCTTTGCAGCCTAATCTGCAGAGAATGATGTGCTAAGAAATCATTAGGGGTGGCAAAGATCTGAATAGAAAATAAAAGCTCCTGTGAGATGCTGGTTGTACAGAGACACCAGCACTTGGAGTGTGGACACTACCTAGAGTGTTTTCTGAGCCAGTCACAAGAATGAGAAGGTTCAGGTGTTTCTTCATATTGTAGCAACATCTGCCACATAGGAGTGACTATGATTATGTCCTTGGAGATAGCAAGGCCCTTTGGTTTTTTTCACGGTGTGGCAGGTCCTATGGCTCCTGAACCTACATTTTCTACCGTCTTAGTCTCCCCATCTCAGCCCCTATTGGTCAAGGCTTTCAGTGACATAATTCATTAGGTGATGCTGCCCTCTTGTGGTAAAGTTAACCTTCACATGTGGACTACCCTGGGCACGGTATTGGAAATTAATTCCCTCTTGTTTAGTCCAAATTTTTCGTCAAATTTATGAAAGAGCTCTTAACACTTAAAAGAAGTGTGATTATCCAAAAGTTTGTGAATATTCAGCCTAGTGTTTTTTACAGGTCTAAAGACTTTGGTTTGAGTAAACAATCAACTGACAAAGATCCAACACTGGGCTTTAGGTCTGGGCTTGAGTCTTCTGGGGATGAATATAAACAGAAGGAACTTTAGAACATGGCCACTTCTGAAAAGCCAACCCAGCTCTTCCTCCTCTTGGCTGCCTAGATAATGGTCAGCTAAGTCAGAAATGTAGGTATCACCCTCAACTCCTCTCTCACCCCACCCCTCTTCCAATCCAGTTAATTCCAAGTCTTGATGTTTTTAACCTGCTATAGACCTCTCGGTTGGCTTTGTCTTAATCCAGTCACTCATCATTTCTCAGCTGCACTATTCTAAGAGCCTTCCCACTGGCTTCTCAGCTTTCAGTCTCACTTTTCCTAATTTGAGCATGTCACTTCTCTACTTGGAAAAAAAAATCATGAACAGTGATCATACAACCATATTGATCCCAAAAGGTTCATTTTATATTGATTAATGATACAAACCGTATTGAAGATATTATATTCATGAACCATTTCTTTTGCAAGAAACATGGCATCCAAATATATAAAGAAGAAAACTCAGCAATACAAAAAGTGATAAAAAAAATCTGTATTCTGTATGGGAGACTTGAACATAATTTAACTGCCAATAAAGTAGACTGAAATAAAGTAATTAGAAGATTTGAAAAACCGTTCATTAATCTAATTAATACATTTTGAAAATTGTTTATAAACTTCATATACTCTTTTCAAATACTGAGAGAATATTTTTAAATGATCATATGTATGTCACAAAGAAAAGCTTTGCGAATTCTTTCTCTTTTTTCTTTTTTTGAGACAGTCTTGCTTTGTCACCCAGGCTAGAGTGCAGTGGCACAATCTTGGCTCACTGCAACGACTGCCTCCCGGGTTCAAGGAATTCTTCTGCCTCAGCCTCCCATGTGGCTGGGACTAGAGGCATGTACCACCACACTCAACCAATTTTTGTATTTTTAGTAGAGACAGGGTTTCTCACCATGTTGGCCAGGCTGGTCTTGAA